GGCCTCTGGTAGAGGACCCAAGATTGACCAAGACACATACCACCCATAGGAGTGAGACGGGATTTTTATATATATGTATATCAATCAATCAATCAATCAATCAATCATAGGAGTATTCCTCAGGCTTCTTTTCATTTTGTGCTAAATAGCAATGTGTGCAATGGCCAACTTATTTATAGAAAATGGATCGTGCATCAAATATGTAAGAAAACCATTAAGCTCAAACCTTTGATCAGGGTGTTTCTTTAACACAGAAGGGATAAACTTAACATTTAAAGCACTCCTCATTTCTCATTCATAGCCATGGAAACCAATATTCTATTTTAAAAAGCACAGATTGATTACCTACCTCACAAAATAGTGTAAGCTTATCATCTGGTAAAAGACCATTAGTTTCCTCAAGTAAAAAGTCTCTTCGAATGAATTTTTTAAAACCCCAGTCCTTGCCTTGAACAAATCGATACGCTCTTTGGCTTTCTAGTAGTAAATAAATAAAACAGGAGTAGGTTCAATTAAAATAGATGTTTTAAAATAATTACAGATGAGAAATGAAATCCAAGATTCCTACTGAGTTTAAGTCATTATATTATTAATAGCAATCTATGCATCTATGAATACTGTTTGGGCTATTTGAGAAATTACCCCAGTTGCTGTGCGCTGAGCATAGTTTAATATAAATTACTAAGTCATTTGATACAATTGCCAGCAACATAGAAGTAAAATATAGGAGTCACTAAGGCAAAATATTTTTGATTATAGAGAGCCAAGGGTGGCTTTTAAAAATAATTTTAAATTATTTGGTAATATTTGGATGTTGATCAGTCAGATAATGATTGTGTTACCTAGAAAATGTATTATACACAGCCATTTTACAAAGGTTATGTATTCTTTTCTACCCTGCTGTTCTCCAATCAAGTTGGAGTTCAGCTCTCACAGTCCTGGCCTGAGTCCCAAAAACCTGGAAGGTGTCAAGTGGATGAACACTGGATTAGAAAAACAGTACTACTATTAATGCTAGTTACAGTAGCAATAAAGCTATTTATCATCCACCAATAATCAAGCACAGTACAGACATAAATAAAAAGATAAATTAATATTATCACATATTATAAATGTAAAATCATAATATAAAATAAGAACTTTTTAGACTCAAACACCATGGTATATAATAAAATCAACATCTGCACATTCAAATACATGTATATTAGTTAGTTAGTTAATGGTTTTACAGAGGCCCGAGAAAAAGAAACTCTTTAGTGTTTTTTTTTTTTTTTAAGAGATCTGACTCCAAACATAATTCTGGTGGGAGCCAATTCTAAAGAAGTGAAAATGCCCTCATTGAAATGGTTATTTTAATACATGGGACAATCAACTGAACCCAGTCCAGTAACTCATGAGCCACCAGCAGATCTTTCAAATAGCTGAGTGTGCCCATCACAGGGCACAATGTGTCAACACCACTGATTTAAACTAGTATCTTTAAGAAGTAAGAGAAACATAAGAAAGGTCCATAATAGTACGAACAACAGCATTCTGCACACAAATCAAAGGACAGAATGAGGCCTCAGGTAACCCAGACAGCAGGCTGCTAAAATAATCCAAGCCAGACCCATCCAGGAACCAACTGCTTAGCCCTCTCTGTAGTGAAGAACAGACAGGTCCTACAAATATTCATTAAATGGAAATTAAAGATTTTAGCAGATTTTTCTACAAAAAGCTTCACAGACAGTATCATCATCATACTTTCCCAATCATATTTGCAAAGTGAATATTTTAAAAAATGGAACACAGGTAAATAAACACCCTGTACTGTCAACTAGACAAACATCAGCTTAAAAACTACAGTTAGCTATTACAACTTAGATGATATAATGCAAAAAAAGAAAGAACAAATGCAATATTAAGCATAAAAATTCTATGAAAAGCTAGAGTGCACAAACTTTTCTGAAATGTTTGATTTGCCGTAAACATAAGTATTTCTAAGGGAATAAACGGGTGATAAAGCTTAGTGAAGATTCTAAGTCATCCCCCTGACAGGCTTCGTAAAGGCCCAAATATTTATTTCTTACATTGAAAGTCAACATCAGAGTAATTTTAAAAATGCACTTACCCATTGCCTTTGTTTCCTCTCTTTTTGCATTTAACAGAGAAAATTTAAATTTTGCTCTCACTTCACTTTTTGGACAACTAACTAGAAGTAAATACAATGAAAGATAATCTTTGCTTTCATCATCTAAACCTTTTGGGTTTACCCTCAGGCACCTGAAATATAAGAAGCAAATCTTAGAAGTTGGATTATACACCAATGTTCAATAAAACTGTCACTTGCTAGATATATTTATGTCAGGACTTATAGGCCAATGTGTTTTTAATCTGGTAGAATAAGGTCCATTACAAAGAATCCTAAACGTTTCACTCTTTTAGATGGTTATTTTACAGAAATATTTGAATAATATGGCCCCAGTCAAAGTTTCAAACTTCCAATACTCCACTATTGTGGATTACTGTCACATACCATCTGCTATCCACTTACCTTCAAGTCTAATCTTGCTCTCTTACCTCAATGGCAAAATTTCAGTTTTTTATAAAGTAGAATAGCTCCCTTAAAAAACACACATACACACACACATCTGACCCTAAAATATGTTAACACAAAGAAAAATTTGGTCATTTTCCTGTCAACACCTGGGCTCTCCAAAAAAAAAAAAAAAAAATGTCCAGGGTCCTTAGAACAATATGGCATAGAGTACAGAAGAAGACGACAAAATCCATTCTCACCTTACCACACATTTTTTTTAAAAAAAGCTTCTTTATATTCTAAGGTGATTTCTATAATCTACCCAATGCAGCCTGCCTGTCAAGTATGTTCAAAACACATAGATTAAAAAAACCAGCGGTTTTTATTCAGGTCTGGATCTTTCTGCACTGAAAATCAGATATAAGCATATTTTTCTCTTTAAACAGTAACTACTTATCTGCTCTATTTGCATTCCACCTCAAGAAGCTCAGGATAGTAATCCCAAGCTTTCAGAAAGCATGCTTCTATCACACACACAGGCACAAAAGGAGTGGATTATAATCAAAATATTAAGTACAACAATGGAATTACACCAAAACATTCTTATACCCCACTTAAAATGGAACATACAAGTATTCCTGGTTTGCACATAAAGTTAAATAAGCCACAGACAGCTACCCTAAGTTAACATGGTTTCTCTAGTTCAGACTTACTGAATAAGCATGAATAACAGCCTATTTTTGTTTATTCAAAAATGTATGGTTAAACAAATCATGGTTTAGCTTGATATATGAACCCTATAAGAGTTTCAGTAGTCAAACAACGAGAAACTGGTTTTGTACAAATCCAAAAACTACACCAGTGGTTCCCAATCATTCATTTGGGAACACTGGGAGTCCCTGCTGCACACACAAAAGATATATACAGTGGTACCTCGGGTCACGAAGTTAATTCGTTCCGCGACTCTGGTCGCGACCCAAATTGGTCGCGACCCGAATCAAATTTTCCCATAAGGTTCAATGTAAATACGGTTAATCCGTTCTGACTCCTCCGAATTTGGTCGCCAATGATTTGGGTCGCGTCCCGAATCAAATTTTCCCATAAGGTTCAATGTAAATACGGTTAATCCGTTCTGACTCCTCCGAATTTGGTCGCCAATGATTTGGGTCGCGTCCCGAATCAAATTTTCCCATAAGGTTCAATGTAAATACGGTTAATCCGTTCTGACTCCTCCGAATTTGGTCGCCAATGATTTGGGTCGCGTCCCGAATCAAATTTTCCCATAAGGTTCAATGTAATTACGGTTAATCTGTTCTGACTCCTCCGAATTTGGTCGCCAATGATTTGGGTCGCGTCCCGAATCAAATTTTCCCATAAGGTTCAATGTAAATACGGTTAATCCGTTCTGACTCCTCCGAATTTGGTCGCCAATG